AAAAATAGTTGATACGGTAAATATTTTTGTGTAAGAGGCAAATAGGTGGACAATCTTGTGTAATCACCGTATTGTGTTACGCGGTAAATCAGTGTGCTCCAAGGGAGAATTTTCCACTTGAAAAAAAATTTTTACCGTGGAAAAGCTGGCTGTGAACATACAAATATATACTACTTATATATTAGTAGTATATACCTATATATATATTAGGTACTATATTAGAATTACACCTACTTTAGCTGCTTCTGATAATCCGGCCAGACATTCATTTATGACATTTGATGTGGATTCCGTGGTTTCAGCTGCACGTCGTTTTATACGGTTAACTGCTATATTTCCTTCGATTTTTGGTGCTTCAGAATCATGAGTATGTTCATTTATTGATTTTATTATTTCAATATCGTCTACTGTTGTGTKTACCCGAGCTTTGCATTCATTTTTATTTCGGCAACGCCAAAAACGACGTTTTCCATCACTACTTAATGCAWCAAATAAATACATATAACCATTGTTCACTAAAACATCTCGTTCTTTCGTGGATTCAATTAATTTTGACATTATAAATAAGTATTAATTGATTAAATAATTTAATAAAACTCACTACTTGTATAAAAGAATTAAATGTATATAAAAACTCATTATTTGTGTGAAATATGTATACTGTATCTATTTTAATAAACTTATCGCACGGCAGACAAGAAACGACAACGGGTACAAATCATTAAAAACGTAGATAATCGATCTAATCAATAGTATATGTTTTGACTGGTCAACTGGTTAATTTTAACYTTAGTTAAAAACCTATAGGGCACAAGTACAGCATACTAGCATAGTAATATTATAAAMTTATCATTAAATTCCAACAATACGTATACAATAAATATTATTAAAAAATAAAAATAAAAATATACCTCTAATGGTAAATTAATTAATATAATAACCTGAGACACTTACGCCAAAACGGCTACACCAAAACGGCCACGCCAAAATGTCCCATTTCGATATTAAACTACATAACATTATATTTAACACATTGGTGTAGATACGTTTTTTTTCCTAGGTGGGAGGGGCATAGTGATGTATGTTACTAATATATTTCATTTACATGAAGACATGCAGTATGTCAGTTTAGGATATTTTATTTTTAATATAATATATATTTTATATATTTTTTTCTTATTCTTGTTTTTATTATTAATACTATAGGTAGGTTGAATTTGAAATTATTTTTGCAAAAAAATATTCAWTCTGTATTACATTTGGTAATAATTGATGATATAATSATATGGCGATAGTTGTTTAAATCTGTTCTAAACCAGCTGAAAAAATCTTGAAACTATTATGGTTGTTGGTATTATAAATTGCTATTTTAAAATTGATTTTATATCTATTAGAAATGACTAACGTAATTTACTGTGTGTATTGATTATGATGTTGAATAAGATTTTTTGTATAGGAAAAAAATTTCAAGGGGTGATAGAACCCTAAAACCCTACCCCTGCTTGAGCCACTGGCTGCGATTTATTTAAATCCTGTACACATACCACCTACAATATTTTGTATTAAGAGAACACCGCACCCACATTTGTTGTGTCCGTCTTACAAAYGTACAACATAGCAAAAACTGTTTTGCAGTGACAACTTTACTCTCTCTGTATTTATAGTGGAATGACCAAAATCTTACAATGCATAGAGAAATAATTTATCTATGTTGCAGTGCTTTTATTATTTTGATAATATAAATACAATTAAAGTATCAATTTGAGAACATAAGTTTTTTATTTTTTATTTAGTTATTAAAAATTAGTATTTAGTGCGCTGTCAAATAAATAAAAACGCTATGTCAAAAATAAATTTCTTTTTTATGTATGAATTTTGGTAATTCTACTATAAATACAGTGAAAATAAATATATCCCTCTTTTATTATCCCTTTATTAAATTTACCTAAATGTAATAACTTCAAATACATTTGCATTTTTTCTCGGATTTTCAGGCCGTATGACGTTATTATCTGCATCCGTTATTACTCTAAAACATTTTAATTTTAATATATACACCTAGTGATTACAATAAAAATATACCTAATTAAATATTAATAGACATTTAATGACTGACCTGTACATATTGTGAAGAGAAAAATAATTATAAGTGGTTAAAAAAATAGTTTCGTATTAAGTATTTTGAATTGATTCTTCCTTGGTAGTAAATAAAAAAATAAAAATTTTAATTAATATTTAAACTTACAACAGAGATATTAAATTTTACATTTTAAAAATAATTAGTGTTAATATAATTCAACTCAACAAATTGTATCCAAGTAATATACTTAAATCCAAATTGTTTAAAGTAAATATTCATAAATTTATAAAATTTTGAGAATTGATTTTAATTTAAAGTTACCTGTTGTAATTTGAAAATAATATTATTTTATATTTTAGGAAAGTCATCTACACATGATTGAAGCGGAACAACAATATTATGGTAAGACACATGTTATTTTTATGATTTATATTATAAAATAAACTATATTATTTAATCAGCCAAGTCAACTGTTTGTTTCTGATAATGATGAATTCTTTAGAAAGTTTAGAAGAATATAAAATGTATACTCCTAAAAATTACAAATACTTATAACTTACCAACCTATGATAATTTGTGGTCTTATCTTTATTACTGAATTGAGAGGATCAAATTACTGTTTGATTATTTAAGAAGTGGTGCGTCATAAAAAAATCGAAGGTACAGGTACTTGAGTATAAACYGATATTTATACTATATTTCCAAGCTACACTAAGCCTATTTTCGATATCAATGTTTTAATTTATTTAATACTCTAACACCTAAAGAGGAATTAAGATATTTTTACCATTCACGAAAAATAATAATAATAATTAGGGCTGGGATTTCGATGCACTTTGCATTGTTTTCCAAAGCTTACTGCGCGATGCTCGTCTGGTCACAAATTTGTTTTATGTACTTGTGAATGAGAATAAGAAAGTTTATTTTGCATTTTCTGGGATTTTTTAGTTTTTAGGTCATTTTCTTAATTTTTTAGGGCATTTTAGAGTTATTGGAGCATTTTTTGAGTTTTTGGAAACCAAGTATGAATTTGAAATTTTATTTTAAGATTTTCATACCAACATGGTTTTTATATAGATATGAGAGATCATAAGTAGGTAGGTACGTAATTAATACGTAATTCGTATTATACTATCGGACAAGGTTTGAGTAAACACTATTCGTATTTCCTGTTAATAATCTTAAGTCGGTAAAATCGACATCCGATGATATCGTTCGACGTTCAGTACGAGTTTTGTCGTCGTAAACACCGTTTTATTAGGTACTTTAGTTAATTTTTTAAGGTCATTTTTTTGGGAATTATTTAGTGTTTTTAGGTCATAAAAGTATTTTTTATGGCATTTTTKGGGGTTTTTAGGGAATTAAAATCCTAGCCCTAAAAATAATTAAATAATGTTATGTCACTCAAGTACGTAAACAAATATTCTGTGATCTGATTTATAGTGTTTGATGTACTAATTCTTTATTTCTGAAGTTTTCGGACACATCTCAAAAGTAAGAAGAGCTTTGCACCCGAATTACATTGCACCCGTGTTCAGTTTTCGACTAAAAAATAAATTCATTGATAAGTGACATTCGTTCGCAATCGTGTTATATCCTACTAACACGTATCTAAATAAGATTATACATGTAACACATTACGATTTAGATAACATTATCTGTATTGTCATTATTTTTCCTTATCCCCACTTATGTACCTCTAATTACGTATACACTATACAGCCCGACTATGTTATGGATATCGCCAAATGTTTAGTTTAGGATTTAGACTTAATTTATTTTAATTGTTGAATTTTATAACAGTTTTAAACTAGAAGTTATTTAAAAATGATATTACAAAAAGTATAGGTATTTAAAAATTTCATGAATTAGGATTTGAATAAATATATTAATGAAAAACTATGACGAGTGTTGAGTATTCAAGCTGAATCACTCTGTATGATAAAATATACTTTTTTTTCCGATTTATAACCGTCGGTAGAGGAGGGCCTGTTTGCACAATACTACTCTTCTACTGCCATAGTTTATTAATGACAAACATTAAAAACATTTAAACTCAATAATTAACAAACAAATATACATAGCGCAAATAATTAACATCAAAAATCTTTTGCATTTCTTCACCTAATACTAAACAATATAGTTAATAATTATGATATCAGTTCCGTTTGTCAATCCTATTCCCGGCCATGATAAAATATACTTAATAATAATAGCATGTCACCTCTCTGAATCATTTTTCATTTCATTTATTGTTKAATTCAAATCGTACTAATTCATTAGTATGACCTACTTACTGACGAACTACACACGACATATATTGTACAGTAACCACTATCGTTACCTACTTCCCCACTTTTCAATACAATACATGTTTTAGAAATTTGTCTCTAGCTAAAATTGTATATACAATTTCATATAATAAAGCGGTTCATGGGTATTTYAAAGCAAAAGTAAACTCAATGCCTATTAATCTTAATGTTTATTTTCATAGAAATATTTTTACTTTTAAATTTTAATATTTTCTAAAAAGAATATGATCAAACAAGGAGAGATGGAGATATGAAAATCTTAGGATTAAAAAAGTAATRTTCCAAATACCTCACACGATATTTTGTTATAGTTTGCCCAAAATATTTTGAATACTGAAATGTAAAATTGATAATTCTTGATGAATTTTGTCAATAATTTGACTTTAAATGCTTGTAAAAAAAAAAAAATAGTGTCAACATATCTTAAGACGGCTGGAGGCGGTATATATATAATTACGTAAGACAGGCTAAATGCTATGCCAAGTCCAACATTCAAACGTCTTTAGCTATTAACCTAACCTATTAATGGCCACTGTGGCCATTAGCGACCGTTTCTATAAAAGCTGTCAAATCTATAAGAATTGTTTCTGACCAATTTTTTTTAAGGTTTTCGTTGTTTTGGTTACCTACTTATTAAAACAAAAACATATTTATGATTTATAGATTTTACTTGTAGAGGAAAATATCGAGTAGAATACTATAGTTTTGATACACATTTTTTTGAAATAATAATTAATTTTAACAGTTATATTTATAAATATATGATATCATGATTAGGTTTCACTTTAGGTACTTATAATTTATACGGTAACGCTGTCGAAGTAATGCGCGAGCACTTCAGGCAGCGCTGTCTGTAAAACGAAAAAAATAAGGTACCCATATGATATTAATTCTGGATGACTGAATTTTTAATACAGGTTTTAAGGATAGATTTTCTACAATGTTAAGATTAAATAAAACACGATTATAACGAAAAAACTTGATATTTATTGTGGTAACGTTGATAATATTTTATATATTTATTATTTTTCTATAACTGTATTACATTACATAACAAGTGTTCAATTTTTCCTTATGGCATTTAATAATCATGAAATATATTTTATTTTATTGTTAAATGCTCCTTAAAATAAATATAACGAATTTGAATAAATATGCWTTGTAACAATCTGTAGGCTTAATAAATAATTTATCTATAATAAAATGTTTTGTTTACTGTATAAATTACAGTGAATATATTTTATAGATTATATATTTAATATAAAACAATAACACAACAAATTAGCATTTTTATACAAATCACGTTCTTAATAGCCTAATGTTATTATTATTTACCTACAAATAATTTAAATTGAACAATTATTATAAATATTTAAATTATTATAAAATATTACTAATATTGTAAACTTAATCGAAATACAACATGTACTCAACAATAAAACAGTAATGATATTTTATTTCGTAATATATTATGTTCTTAACAATAAATACATTTTTGTGTGGAGCTATATATAAATTACTAAGTTGCACATCATAATTAACAATTTTACTACCTATGTAAATCGTATGCATATATTATATAATATTATGTAAATGTATGTGTTTTTAATAAATTATTTWAAAAAAAAATACAATAATGCATTACATTATTATTTACTTGTATAAAAATTGGTATTATTTAAAAGCACCAGCAGATAGCAATATTTGTATACAAATAATCAACTAAAATTCGCCTTAAGCTAAGTGACTGTTTAAGTTGATAAATAAAAATAAAAATGGACGTTTACTTTTATCATCACGAATGTATTGGTTAGCATATGATTCAAAAAAGTGTATTCAATACAATGAATATAAACTAGAGCATATAAATTTATTATAATAAGCGAAGGTTATTGACTTAACAATATTATCATATATTATTTTTTGTGCAATGATCTTTTTTTGATATTTTGATCTATTTTATATTTGTAATTTTATTTATTAATAACTTGTACTAAATAATATTATGTATAGGTACATTAATAAACTTATATWATTAATTAAATTAAATATTTTGACAGCTTAAAGGTTCAAAACTTATTATAATAAATTATGATATACAATCATAAAATATATTATCTTAGTTCTAATAAACGAATTATTAACGTTTATTGAAAACTTTATTCATAGTTTTATTTTTATTGGAATAATTATATTTTAATATGCASTGTTAAATGTTTCTTACACACACAAACAACGACCTTTTATTAGAAATCTACTACCAAGAGTAGGCATTTAATTTAATATACTAACGTTATGTACTTGTTTTACGTATATTAAATTATGTTATTTGTTGGAATTTTAATACATATCTATACTAATTTATTAATCGTGTTTAGATTAAATCTAACTKTTAAATATGTTTATAATGTTTAAAGTTTTTATTAATTTATATTTTAATTTAAATAAAGTAATATAAATAAATAATTATGTTTTATTGTTATTAACAACTCGTGTTATATACTAGTGTAAATACCTAGATTGATGTTTAATATTTTAAACTCATACAGGATACAGATACTATTTGGTTAAATGTGTATTATGTTAGTTATATTTATACCGTATTCAATAGAGAAATAGAATAATAAGTTAAAAGTAATATACAATATTAAATGTTTTCAATATAGGTAATAAATAAATAACATTATATAAATGATGTTGAGCGATCCAATATAATATTATTGTGATGAGATTGCATATGAATTATAATGAAGTTGGTATACTTAACATATTAAATAATATTAAATGTATATGTATTATGTGAAGAGTATAGGTTTTATTACCTGCAAAAGATGAATTTTGAAGTTCAATAAATATAAACATAAGAAGTGGAATGAATGGCAATTGAATAATGAGAATAACACTAAAGGTTCATATTAAATGAATGACTATTATATACTGTATTATATTATTGTCTTTTAAAAACGGTTAAAAAATTATATTATTTCTATTTATTTTCTTTGATATTGAGCTTTTTTTCCGTGTAAAGTTTCAGTATCTATTTCTCTCCGTACGCTTTTGACAGCGACGCAAAATAATTATAATATTCTTAATACTTACATAATATACTTAAATATAACTTAG